ATGATTTATAGCTTAGTTTGGGGAAATTATCTCGTTGGTTTCTGCGTTAAAATACTGAATTCAGCCGTTGTGATCGGATTCTATTATGGATTTCTGACTACATTCTCCATAGGACCGTCTTATCTCTTCCTTCTTCGAGGGCAAATCTTAGGAAAGGGATCTGAAACGAAAATATCAGCAACAACCGGGTTTATTACGGGACAGCTCATGATGTTTATATCGATCTATTATGCGCCTTTGCATTTGGCATTGAGTAGACCTCATACAATAACAGTCTTAACTCTACCGTATCTTTTCTTTAATTTTGTCCACAAAAATGACAAACACTACTATTTGGGTTCGGGATCCAAACTGGATTCTGAATACAAGAATCCAAATTCAATACGTCATTTTAGGATTGTTAAAGTATTCTTTAACAATCTTTTTTTTCAGTTATTAAACCCCTTTCTTTTGCCAAGTTCAATCTTAATAAGATTAATGAACATTTATCTGTTTCGATCCAACAATAAATTGTTATTCTTAACAAGTAGTTTTGTTGGGTGGTTAATAGGTCACATCTTTTTAATGAAATGTATTGGATTGGTATTAGTCTGGTTACAGCACAAAAAGTCGATCAAATATAAGATAACTATGAAATTTGATAAATACATTCTCCTACAATTGCGAAATTATGTGGGGCAAATATTTGTTGTTTTTTCATTTGTTAGCTTTGCACACTATTTAGGCAGAACACCGCTCCCATATTATTATATTGAGGAAATGATGCGATACGATGACAGGGACCTGGAGGAAGTCAAAGCTGCAATAGATTGGGAAAAGGAAGAAACTAACGAAGAAGAAGAAGATATTACTGTTTATCTTTCTGATAAAAAAGAGAATACTTTCAACAAAAAACTCGCCCCGTTGGAAAAATCTCTTGTAACTACTCTTTTCGATTATCGAAAATGGAATAGGCCTTTGCGATATATAAAAAATGATCACTTTGAAAGGGTTGTAAGAGATGAAAATTCACAATTTTTTTTTCAGGTATGTCAAAGTGATGGAAAAAAAACGAATATCTTTCACGTATCCACCTCATTTATCTACTTTTCTGAAAATCATGGAAAAAAAAATGGATCTCTTCAGAAGAGATAAAACCTCCTATAATGATAATGAATTGTCTAATTATTGGAGCTCTGTTAATAAAGAAAAAGGAAATAAACTAATCAATGAATTTTTTCAAAGGGCAAAAATGATAGATAATAAATCTATTAAATTTAGTCCTGTGGATGTATTTGAAAATCGAATTAGATTGTCTGATGATAATAGGAAAACAAAATACTTAACTAAAATATATGATCCTTTCTTGAATGGACGCGTTCGTGGAGAAATCCAAAAAGGCTTTTCACCCTTCATTCCAAATGAAACTGACACAACAAACTACATTTTGATAAATAAGATTCATGGTCTCCTTCTTTCTATTAATAGTAATGATCCAGAATTTGAACAGAAAATAGATCAATTTGATAGAAAATTATTATTAAATGAAATTGGTTTTTTTTTTAACTTAATCAGTAAATTTTCGGAAAAATCAGTATCAAGTTTGAATTTTGACGGACTTTATTTATTTCCAGAACATGAACAAGTAAAAATATATTCCGAAGAAAAAAAAACAAAAAGAAAATTATTATTGGACGCAATTCGAACTGATCCTACTAATAATACAATTTTTAATAGAAAACTATGTAGTGAAATAAACGAAATAAGTAAAGAAGTTCCTCGATGGTCATACGACTTAGTCGACGAATTGGCGGTATTGATGGACGCGAGTCCAAAGGAGTCTCAGATTCGTTCCCCAAAAGCTGACCGTATAGTTCTTTTTAATAGTAAAACAGATTCTAATGACAATCAGAATAGTGCTGAACCGGACAGAAATACTGAATTTGCTGTAGTTCATTATTCACGCGAACCAGATTATTGCCGAGACCTAATCAGAGGATCTATGCGCCCTCAAAGGCGTAAAACAGTAACTTATAAACTCTTTCAAGGAACTGCACACTCCCCTCTTTTTTTGGAGATAATGGGCGACTACGCGTTCTTGTTTGGTGATCTTGTCTATGATATCTCCCAATATTTGAAAGAATATTTCAGGAAACCGGGTACTGATAATTCGGAATTTTTGGCGTTTGAGAAAACGATAGAACAGAAAGAGATAGAGGAAAACAAAGACGAGTCTGAAATAAGACTTAGACAAATCGAAGAAGCCTGGGAGAGCATTCTCTATGGTCTAATAATCAGAAGTTTTGTATTACTATTCCAATCAATATTTAGAAAATATATTCTATTACCTTCATTGATAATCACAAAAAATATCATTCGTATACTATTATTTCAAAATCCTGAATGGTCAGAAGATTTGAGGGATTGGAGAAAAGAAGTCCATATTTACTGCACCTATCAGGGCGTTCCAGTATCTCACACCGCGTTGCCAACAAACTGGTTCTGGGAGGGTATTCAGATAAGGATCTTATTCCCTTTTGTTCTGAAACCGTGGCACAATAAGGTACGATCTACTGAAAAAAAAAAAAAATCTACTGAAAAAAAAAAAGATCCACTGAAAGAAAAAAACTTATGGTTTTTAACAGGTTATGGAACACAAGTCGAATCGTACCTTGATGATCATGTCCCAAACCCTTTTTTATTTTTGGGTCCCATTTTAAAAAAAATAAAAAAACAATTGAAAAAAGATTTGAAAAATCGTTTTTTTCTAGTTCTAAAAGTTTTTAATGAAAGAAAAAAGGGGTCTCGAATCGTGTTAGAAGAAATCGAAAATAGGTTCAAAAAAAGAGATGAATTGAGTGAAAGCAAAAAAAATTCAACAATCAGTAAGAGTAATCCAATGATTGAGGAATCGCCCGTTCTAATTCAATCTATGAATTGGACAAATTTCACAGAAAAAAGGATAAAAGATCTTAATGTTAAAACAAAGACAATCTTAAAACAACTAGAAAAAATGACAGAAGAAAAAAAAGAGGGGGTTATAACTTTAGAGATTAATTTGAATTCTACCAAAACTACTTATGATGCTAAAAGATTAGAATTACTAAAAAATAGTTTGAAAATATTAAAAAGAAGAACCGTTCGATTAATCCGTAAATCCTATTTTTTTTTTCAAATTTTAATGGGAAGGATATACATAGAGATCGTTTTCTCTATCACTCGTATTATTATGATGTCTGGACAACGTTTTCTTAATATTATTGAATTAACAGACAAAATTGTAAATGTATTTATTTCCATTTACACTAAAAAAAAAAATGAACAAAGAGTTCATAAAACAAATGAAAGTATAATTCCATTTATGTCGATTATAGACAAATCTTGGAATATTACAGATATGAATTCACAGAATTCTTGTGATGTATCTTCTTTGTCACAAGCCTATGTATTTTTTAAATTATCACAAGTTAGTAATGGATATAAATATAAGTTAAGATCTATTTTTGAATCTCATGGAAGATCTTTGTTTCTTAAGAATGAAATAAAAGATTATTTTTTTAGAATACAAGGAGGAAGATTAAATTCCAAATTAAGACATAAGAACCGTCCCGATTCTATAATGAATCAATGGATAAATTGGTTAAAGGTTCATTATCAATATGCTTTACCTCAGAGCGGATGGTCAAAATTAGTACCACAAAAGTGGAGGAAGAGAATCCATGAACATCGCGTGGCTCAAAAGAAAAATTTAGTTGAATATGATTCATCTGAAAAAAACCAATTCATTTTTTACAAAAAACAAAAAAAACAACAAGTAGATTTATTAGAAAAAAAAAAAAAAATAAAAAAACAATATGGATATGATCTTTTCTCCTATCAATATATAAATTATGCAGATAACAAAAAATCCTATATTTATGGATATAAATCACCATTGCAAGCAAACAAAAACCAAACGATTAATTACAACATACCTAAAAATAAAAAAGAATTATTTGATATAATGGGCGATAGCTTTATCCAAAATTATATAGCAGAAGATGGTATTATAGATATGGATATGGAAACAATGGAAAAAAATCTGAATAGAAAGTATCTAAATTGGATGGGAAAAAGAAAAAAGAATTCCAAAACGAATCAGAAATTATTGACTCCGAGATTTGGGTTCTTTTCAAAATTAAGTGCATATAAGAAGAATCCTTGGATCTTACCAATGAATTTCTTTTTTGTGCAGTTTTATGGAAACAAAAACATTACTGATGTAGCCAAGTTAAAGTTAGAAAAGAAAGAATACGGGAAGCAAGCAGATCTCAAATCATATCTCTCAAACTATTATAGGGACACTCGGTATAGTATAACTAGATACAGGAAGGATCTAAATGGCGAACAAAATTTCTTACTAGATAAATATTTTGGTTTTTATTTGCACTGTAAGACTCCCGTCCAAGAAACACTAATGGATAATATCAACTTATATTGTCTCCTGGTTAGATTGAAAAATCTAAAACAATTTTTCATAATGTCTATAAAAAAGGCAGACCTCGATTTTGAAATTACGGCGCGTCTGCAGATGAAGGACACTTGTTATACAGAATGTAGGGACACAGAGGAATTGAGGGACAACCTAATGTTTTTTATTGAACCTATTCGTATTTCTAGAAAAAACTATGAACAATTTTTTATATATCAAACCATAAGCATATCATTGAGGCACAAACGTAAAATTTTGAAAAGAAACTATGATTTACTTGTTCCTGAAAATCTTTTGTCCACTAGACGCCGTAGAGAATTGAGAATTCTAATTTGTTTGAACCCACAGAATAGAAATACTGTGCATAGAAACACAATAAATGACACTGAGAAAAAACGAAATAATTCTTCTGAAGTTTTGACTCAAAATGAAGATATTGATAGCGATACAAAAAAACTAATGACTTTAAAATTCTTTCTTTGGCCAAATTATCGATTCGAAGATTTAGCTTGTATGAACCGCTATTGGTTTGATACACATAATGGAAGCCGTTTCAGTATATTAAGAATACATATGTATCCTCGATTGAAAATCTAGATTTTTGTTCTATTTATCATTATCATAATATTTCAGATATCTATCTGATATCTGATATGTGAACATATATATATATATATAAATAAATATTTATTTATATATATATATATATGTTCACATATAATTGATAATTGCAATAAATAAAATAAACGCGCACACGCATTGTGGGATTGATACGACTTCAATGATGTCTCCATTAGATAGAAATAAATCAATAGAAAAATGAATAAATCAAAATTGTCTTTTTTTTTTTTATTTTTTAAATACAAGACAATAGAATTTTTTATTTTTTGAATACATAAATATAGTATTTATTCTCTATTTGAATTACATTCCTTAATAAGGAATTTGAAAAAAAAAAATTCAGAATTGTGAAAATTGTTAAATAAATTAAGGTAAAATTTGATATAAAAAATTCAAAATGAGTGTCATTACTATTACTGATCAATAAAAATATCTACCAAAAAGGAGGGGGAAAGAAAAGCTTTCATTTTATGATAAAAAATTCATTTATACCTGTTATTTCACAAAAAAAAAAAGAAGAAGAAAACCCGGGATCGGTTGAATTTCAAGTATTCAACTTCACTAATAAAATACAAAGACTTACTTCACATTTTAAATTACACCCAAAAGACGATTTATCTCAAGGAGGTTTACGTATAATTCTGGGAAAACGGAAACGACTATTGTCGTATTTGTCAAAGAAAAACAAAATACGTTATCAAAATTTAATAAATCGGTTGGGTATTCGGGATTCACAAATTAGGTAATTTAAAGAATCATTTTCAATTATTCGATTTATTAGATACTGAATTTTGATGAACTTTTTTTTTTGAACGATTCATGGAAGAATGAATCGAGGAAAAACCTATGAATATCCCAGCTACAAGAAAAGACCTCATGATAGTAAATATGGGGCCTCAACACCCATCGATGCATGGTGTTCTTCGACTTATTGTTACTCTGGATGGTGAAGATGTTATTGATTGTGAACCAATATTGGGTTATTTACACAGAGGTATGGAAAAAATAGCGGAAAACCGAACAATTATACAATATCTGCCTTATGTAACACGTTGGGATTATT